CGCCTCCACCGCCTCGCGAAGCAACCCCGAGTCCGCGGCTCGGCGCACGGAGGGAGCGCTGGACGCCGACGAGCTGCTGCCGGCGCGCGAGAAAGTGGCTGAACCCCCGCCACCCCCGCCGCCGCACTTTTCAGAGACTTTCTCGAGTCTGCCGGGTAAGTGCTGGGGCCGACGTGGGTTCGACCGTCAGGAATTCCCAGACCGGGACCAGTCCAGAACTCCTGCCACCTGCTTGGAGCCAGATCCCAGCTCGCGCGCGATGTTCATTCCCCAACACCTCCAGGTCCCAAAGCCCTGCTCTGGCCTCGGAGCGCCTGAAGCCTCACCGGCACGCTTTTTCGGCATTGTAGTCCACAAGCCTCGCCCTGTCTCTTTTTTTCAGAATCCCTTCGTTTTTCTCTTCTCAAGGATGGGATTCCTGAGGGCATCAGCAGGACCCTACGGTGACAGCATTTGGGGACAACTGTCACTTTAGAATGTGGGGGCGCATTCTGAATCGACCCCTCAGCACACAAATGGTGGGCATGGGCTTTGTGGATGCGGCGCAGAAGGAGGGGCTGATGAGCCTGTGGCTTCTTCACCTTAACAGAGGTCACTCTTGAATGCTCATTTAGACTAGACCTAAACATTGGAGAACCAGATAGGGCACTGGAGCGGCGCAGGCAAGGACTAGAGAGGTGTTAACTGGCGGCTGGTAGAGTTGGGTGTGGCATGCAGAGTTGAGGATCCTACTAACAGGTCATTCAAGAGCCCTGGGAGGATGCCATCTCCACGGTGACAGGGTGCATGCAGTAAACGAACCCTGATCAGAGTCCATTTCCTGGAAGTCCTCTTGTCCTGTCCTCAGTATCCTAAAGCCAACAAGCTTTCTCCTTTCCAGGCAGAGCCAGGTGCGCTGAGATCGAGGCTTATGCAATCTGGGGAGTTCTAATTAAGAAAAATAGCCCATGTAAGAGTAGAGAGCTTAAACTTCCTTCACACTCGAATGAGCCCACGTCTGCTCCGCAGTTCGTGACACCTAGCTTAGCTGCTGTAAATGACCCAAAGGGTTTGGAAGTTGACCATAGCAGAGGCAAGAACAGAATCCAAGAGTCATTGGCCAGGGCAGGTAGGCGATTCCTGAGGACAGGTTTCTGCTTTGGAACTGCCCACGGGGAAGGGGGGCTGCCCACTGTCTCAGGTGTTGGGGGGCTGTCAAGAAGCCTGTCTTCCAGTTTTGATTTTTGGTTCTCGGCATTTTGGCTGTGGGGATTCATCCGTTGTTAATTCCTTTTCCAAACTGACAGTCACAAGAGGCTCTGAAGTCAGAGCAGCGGCTCCTCAGGAGGACACTAAGAAGAAGAGAAACACCTGGAGATAGCAGACAGTGTCTTCAGGACAAGAGGGCAGGGTAGAGCAGAAGGAGGCTCCTCAGAAGGAAGAATTGAGATAGTTCAAAAGCAGGAAGGAGCAGGGCTAGCTACTGAAGAGGTGCTGTGGAGGCCATGGGGCCTGGAGGCGCAACCAGGCAGACACAGGGAGGCCTAGAGCTTGAGGGAAGGAGGGAGGGGACCCACAGGTGGAGCAGACCTGAGGGGTGTGCCCTTACCATGGGGGAACAAACAACTCAGCCACACACTGCCATGGTCCCCTGCCCGTCTCTCCACTCTTATGTATAATGGGGGTTCTTTTCCGAAGTAAACCCAATATTGGCTATAAAACTGAATACGTCAACAGAAGAAAAGGGCAGAAGAGAAAAAAGGAGTAAGGAAAGAGCCGTGACAGGGGCGACGGGGCGGGGCGGGGGACACTGACTGGAGATTGTGATTAGGGAATCGGCCTTCTGTGGGAAGAGAAACTGTGGGCCGAGCTGAATGAAGAGTGAGCAACTTCACTGAAAAAGTGTGTGGGGATGAGTTGCGTCACGGCAGGACTGGGAAAGAGCTAACTAAAAACGCCAGGGCATGCTGAGAGTTTCAGCATGGACCGAGGGTGCCGGCAGACTGGTGACCCAGGGAGGAAGAACAGGTCTCCCGGTCTAAGAAAAATGGAACCCACAAGAAAAGGAGCTGTGCGCACCGCTGCTGAAGTGCAGGGAAGGGGCAGTATAATGGGGGAGGGGCCTCAGAGGGGAGGGTGTTGGCGGTTCCTGTGCTGAAGGTCACGTCCCAGGCTGGGAGTCACCTTAGGTGCTGGAAGAGCAGTGAGGAAGTCAGGTTTCAGAGGGACCAGAACCTGTCTTCACCCTCAGCACAGCTGTCTGGCCCTTTGCCGACAGCCACTCCCTACCTTCCCAGCCGTGAGTGTTCCCTGACATGACTGTAGAAGGAGAAAATGCAGTTACCCAAAGGTTAGGCATAAACTCCATCCGGGGAATGACAGCACACCGCCGCCGAGGCTGATGGGAAATAGAACCTTTTGTTGGGGAACTGGCTACTTGGGATGGAGTAAGAGAGTTCTCTGCTGTGGAGGTTCTGTGGGACCAGAACCTCCACAGAAAAGAGTCGGGGAAGGAATACAGTCTTTAAAATGACAGAGGGAGAGTTGCTTTTCCGGTGAGAATGGGTGGGAGGCATTGGGTTGAAGTTATTGCTCATTCACACTTGTTGAATATTTAATGTGTGCTTGCTAGCCCCTCCAAATGACCTTATAGAACAGCTGGGCGGGGTGGCACCCATCACTAGGAGGTGGAGGCTGACAAAAGAGTAGTTCAGAGTCGACCACAGCTACATATTATGTTGGGGGGACAGTGTGAGTTACTTAAAGCCCTATCTTTAAAAAGAAAAGAAGAGAGTAAAACTTCTAATGAAGACAGGTCGATTTGGAGAATGAAAAAGTTCTGTTCTTTGGGAATTACAGGAAACTGTTTTCAGTTCGCTTAGAATTAAGAAAGATGTCACTCTATATGAGAACTGAAGAAGACAAAGCCTAGAACCTCATTATAATTTGAGGGTAGGGGAAAAAGTTATGTTAGCAAATGGGAAAAAAAGGAAGACTGTGTGGGAAAGGATGGCTAGAAGAAGCCCTGAGAATGGCAGATGGAAAGAGAAGAGTTCTAGGCTGGGAGTGTGGGGAGCAGTGGGGGCAGACTTTTAATAGGAGTGATAAAGAAGAGAGACTTTTGAACGTGTAGGGAGGATTAAATATGGACCAGTAGGGCTGGGGTGGTAGAGGGCTTGCCTAGAATGGGTGAGGCATTGGATTCTACACACACACACACACACACACACACACACACACACACACACACACACACTTGAGCTCTCACACACTTGCATGCACGTACACACACACACACACACACACACACACACCAACAGAAGAACCCAAAGAAGTGAGAGTTTACTAGAAATATCAAACAAGCAATTTATTAATATATGTAATTTAAAGGTTTTCACTAGTCACATTGAAAAGATAAAAGAAACTATTGCAATGAATGATAATAATCTTATTTAATCAAATATGTCTAAAATGCCATTTCGGCATTGATCCGTATCCGTATTCGAATGACATAGCTTGTACCCTCTTTTCATACTGCCTTTGAAATCCAGTGCACACATTCTCCACTCCCAGCTCAGCTGTCTTCAAAGTCGCCATGTTTCAGGTGCTGACAGTGACCGTACCAACACATCTAAAGAGTCTGTAAGAGCAGTCTCATGATAGCCATTGGGTGGCAGACCCTCAGTATCCCAGGGAACAGACAGTGGGCTGCAGAGAGCTCCCAAGGACAAGACCAGATTCAGCCCCAGCTGGGAGGATCTGACCTGGTCTTGGGGACCTGAAGAAGTGTGTGAGCTCTGGCTGTGAGAGTCAGTCACGGCTAAGCCGTGTGCCAGATATGGCAAGGCTGTGCAGCACACAACTGATGATGGGAAAGGATGCTGTGTGCTGGGAGTGATGGAATAAAGCTATCCTTTGGGGATAGTGCAGCCTGGGACTTCAAACTGAGAGTTTCTGGAGCTTCCCACTTGCCCACTTGAAGGTTGGACCTCTTAGATGTAGAAGATTAGACAGCGAGTGGGGGTGTGCACACCACGGAGAACCATTAGAGGGATGATAAAGAAACAAGGAGAGACAGACATGATGCCTGTGTTGAATGAGGGGCAAGTGAAAACATTGGTAGCCAGGATGGTGTAGAGGATGAGAGACCAGCCTGAGAGATGTCAGTGCAGTGAGCACTATTTTTTAAAAAGCCGAACAGGTAAGGATTTGCTAATTTCCGAATGGGGATCCGATGCAGTGATGATGGTAATCACACAGGGAGCCAGGAAACTTCAGAGCAGCCTGGTGTTCAAGGGCTGATTGCTGTAAGCGAAGCCCCTGATTATAGCAAGGGAACATTTTTAGATGACCATTAATTAATTTCTGAATAGGTGTCCATTATGACTGGCAAGATACGGTATTTATCTATGAGAGGGAAATGTCGTGCCGTAGAGCCAGAGATTTCTGTTGTTAAAAACAAGAGGAGGATTTTGCTTTTCAGATGACAAAGACCTAGAGTATATTTTTCCTAGCACTTTTGAGAAAGTACACAGAGATTGCTTGTTCCACTGACTTTTGGGTTTGTTTCGTTCTTAAAAACAGACTATCTTTCAGTTTCCCATGCTGACCTCAGACTCACTGTGTAGCTCAGCCTGGTCTCAAACTCATGGCGCTCCATCTGCCTCTGCCTCCCAAGTGTTGGGATTAAAGGCATGCGCCACTATACTCAGCTTGTTCCATTGACTTTTCACATCTTGTTTTTATTTTTTCTCTCTGAAATATTTTATTTTTTTTAACATTACATGTATATGTGTCCAGAAGCCAGAAGACTGTCGGGGACCCCGGAGTTGCAGGTATAGGCAGCTGTCAGTGGCCACCTGATGTGGTGCTAGGAAGAACAGTCTATGCTCCTAACTGCTGAGCCATCTTTCCAGCCATTTTTATTTTTATTTTGAGACAAGGTATTGAGACAAACCTAGGCTGGCTTCAAACTCACCATATACAAGATGACCTTGAACTTCTAATGGTCAGCCCCAGCTAACCCTCTACCAACTTACTTCTTTTTTTTTTTTTTTTTTTTTTTTTGTTTTTTGAAACAAGGTTTCTCAGTAGCTTTGGAGCCTGTCCTGGAGCTAGCTCTGTAGATCAGGCAGACCTTGAACTCAGAGATATGGCTGCCTTTGCCTCCCAAGTT